TAACCCCTATAGAACAACTCACTGCTTCTGAAAGAAGCATCTATAAATGGCAGATGATGGCATAATGGATTAAAAAATGAAATTAAGTATTAGGAAAACCTATAATATGCATCTCTTATGGGTACAGCTGCTCCACAGTTACTCTCAGTAAACAGAAAATGGCATTATACACAATAGCTAATTTCTGTGGCAGACGGTATCTTTTTCTGTTAGCATAGATATAAAAGCAGAGCCCTATGTAATTTCCAGTCTCTAGTAACTGCCTAAGCATAGGTACACACCAAGAAAAACACATATACAAGCAACTCCTGCAAAAGACCACTAATATAAGCTTAGAACTGAATGCAATTATAGTCATATTACAGGTATTTTTGCTAAACATTTAATATGTGTCACGCTTTAACAAAAAAATATGTATCCAAAGATTTGAGGGAGAGGGGATTTCCAACTCCAATAATTAGCAATAGAGCATTAATTATATGCCTACACACAAGATCCTACTATTGACTATTTCATTGTGCAAAGACCTAATTTGCTGTGATTTTGACACTGGGTGATGTACTTACACAGATCACAAAGATAACTATATTTTCTAAAGGAAGCCTGAAAACACTCTTTAGATACGATCTTAATATTTTTAACACATTTATTCTTAGATATAGGCTTCAATGTATTATGAACTTCACTGTGAAAGCAAATGAAAATGAAGTTTTGCCAGCTGTAGCTGTGTATCAAGGAGGGCTGTGATGCTGATGGTTGCAAAGTGACCTATGGTGGCAGTACACAACTGCCCATGGGAACTGATTTGCAGAAATCCAGGATACCTCACAAGAGAGCAAACAAGGAACATGCTTCCCCGTGACTGCTTCTATGGCTCTGATCATCACTGATAAGTGACCATCATAGACCACAAACATGAACCTTGTTAGTACCAGCCACGTACAAACACAAAACAAGAAAACTAGACTGTCACTAAAGTAGTTTTCGATTTCAATTTAACACGGGCAGATTTGGAAGCAACAGTGGCAGAACTGACCCAAAATTGAAATTCAGAGATTGAAATCCTTTGCAGAGGGAAGCAAGCCAGAGTAAGGCCTCACCTCCTTCAAAGACACAGGTATTTAAAAGAACCTTTTGTCTTTCAGATGTCCTCTTTTTTTTTTAGTTTCAGCAGTCCCTGCCAGAGTATGTCTATTCAGGTGACCAGAGGAACACAGGTACTTCTCTTCACTCTCCTAATTGGCTGGATATAAACCAAACCTAATCCGGAAGGCATGCAGAAGTGTTAACATGGCACTGGGTGAGCTCATTATACTGTAGTGTCACCGTCTTTTTAACCTGGCACAAATGGGATTACTACTGAGTACCATGAGGATTGGCCTGCTCTTCCCCCAGCTGCATGCCTCCTCGGTGCTGCTGACTCCTTGATGCATTTCGGTCACACATTGAGTCAGATCCAGGAACTCATCCAACTGAAAGCCAAGCCAATAACAACAAGAACGGATTTGCATTTGGCCACAGATTATAGTATCAGCACAAGTGAGAGATCAGGAATTTGTAGCCAGAGGTGAGGCAGGCAGGCTGACCCTCTGGCAGCAGCCCACATTTGTGGTAATTTAAAATGACCACTGAACCTCACCCTTTGCCTTGTTGAGAGACAAATATTGGTGACCTCCAGCAACAGTCTCACATTAATGCAGGTGAACGGCTCCCAGGCAAGAACTGCCTTTGCATAATAACATTCTGTGTGCCAGGGAAGTGAACATGCTTCAATCAACAGTTATTTCTAGGTATGTCTGTAGATGCCTGACTCTTTCCATGATCTACTGCTAATAACTTAGATAGCGTTAACTTCACTGGATGGCTTTGCTACATTAAAATTCATTTCTTAAGCCTCCTTTGTGGACCTGGGAGCCTTGGGGAATAAGAATGCTATAGTTTTTAATAGTAATAATTGGATAATATTGCAGTTATAGAGCAACACTATGATTATCCCCAACATCTCTTTACAAAGGCAACAAAGCCAAACAATAAAATAAACAACAATCCCCAGGTTAGATAATCACTCATCAGCGGAGTTTCCCCTGGACCCATGTTACTTCCTACAACCCTTCAGCTTCTATAAACTATTCAGCTTCTTTAAACTATTCACACCTGTGGTAACACCAAGGAAGTTGAGTCTTTCCTCCCTTTCCCATTTCAAAACATGTATTTTTTTTCCTCCTTCACTATACTGTCATTTACATGATCCATCCATTGGAGATAGCAAAGTTATCTGCCATTGGGGAAAAACAAACTGCTAAGTGATAAGGATTTGCAACTTCCTATGTGGAATGTAAAAGAGAAAAATGAAAAGTTTCTTACAATGACAGTCTAACATTGCAGACTGCCCTACTGGAGAAAGGATCTACGCTCTGCTACAGGAACTGAAAGCAGCAGCAGTAAAATTAGCAGCAGAGAGATTACTGAAGAAATCAGCTGCTCATTAATTTTCCCCCACTGTACCATACAGGCCAAATGCCAGTTTCACTGCTTTTGGTGATATTATCCATATTCCCTGCTATGTGCCTTCCACCCTGCCATCACTTACATTCATACCAGCAAGCCCACAGCTCACTAGCCACCCACTCTGCCCTGCTAATGATCCAGATCTGGACTGACTTAGAGTAAAACATGGGAAGTTTATCTAAGCTGCCAAGACAGAGCTGCTGATTTTGTGCCTCTGTTAGCAAGCCATTCCCTACCACCTTTCTGGCAGTCTTTTTTTTTTTTTGTCAAGATTACATGTTACAAGTTTTATTTACTCTTAGGCTATTCTTACATGATCTTCAAGATGTTAAACACTCTTAGAACTCCATTTCCTCACCACTAATCTAAACAAACCTTAATAGGGATTAGAACTGAAATCCAAATTGGCAGAAATGAAAATTTTGCAGCTTTGTTACAATATCAGATGCATCCATCAATATTCTCTAAATATAGTGAAAGGTTAGCCTAAGTCTGCTATTGCTTCATGTTTAATTCAGATACCTTTGAATGAGTGCATATCCTTCCCTCACCCAAGTCTTCTATTCTCATCACCTATGTAATTCTGAAGAACTTAATCTAGAAAAACACCCCAAAACAGAGGAAATGTTTTTAAAATGTAATTTCTACAAAACTGTATTTTATCAAATGAAAGATTAAAGAAATGGAGATTAAAACACTAAATCATAATAGGGATTCTACAACTCTTCTAAAGCAACCATCTATAATTTTTCAACTATGTAATTGCTTTAAAAAGATGAGTACATTATACAGTCAAGAACAAAACTTGCATTTCTCTATTTAAGAACATTACAGGTAAGCAGGAAATTATGATTGTGTTGAAACAGTAGATGCAAATGAAAACAAACTCCAGTAGCATATCTCTGAACTGCCATCAGCTCCTTATCAAACAGGTGAAGATTTCCAGAATGCCAGTTCACACAGAAAGTTATTCTGTAAAGAGATGTGGGCTTTTGGATCAAATGTTTCTGAAAGGCCATGCATTATTATTATTTTTTTTATATACTTTTGGGATCACATCATATTTCAATTTTATGCTTACTTTAATACACATTCAAATAAATCAGACTTAGAGAAGATATGAATTTTGGACTAGATTTCACCAACCTAATAATAACCTTTACTGGCATCTTAAATAAGGCTAAAAAACAACAAAAAAACACTAATCATTTGACTGGACCTATGGCATAATATTTCTGGGTGAATCAACTCCCATTTAGTTTCATTGCTTCCCACTGCAAGATAATGGTCTGTCATTAGTTATTTGTGTCTCTAGTTACGCCCTTAAAAGGCTCCAAGGCAAACATATAATGCAAAATTGTTCTGAAAAACAACATTATTGTAAAGGACTGTATGAGACAAGGTCACATGTCTAGCTTCTAGAAAACCGAGGATATCCTCACAGGATCCTGCAACAAAAATTGGGGTAAATCTTTGCAGTGCCATGCAGGTGAATGTCATGAGTTATCCAGTAATTTCCCAATCAAGAGATGGGAAACAGCACCAAGGCTTGGAATAACCAGACCTCTTCATACAACTGCTGTCTAATACTAAGCCCATTTGTATTTATTTATTTATTTTAATCTAAGGCCTAATAACAGGGAAAACAAGACAACCCTCCCCTCAAATCTCATTAATTTTTCCCCCTTTTTTTGGGAGGTGTGCATGGGGGGAGCTGTAGCACCGCCCTACCCAAGGCAAAGCAGCGCAGGGACCTCTCACGGCGCTCCTCATTCATAGGGCTGCACTCCACCTTTAACTTTCCCAGGAAGAAGCGGGGGCATCAGCTGGGCAGGGACGGGCCAGTGCCGCCGTTTCTCCCCAGGGCATCGCCCGTCGCTGGGGGCCTCGCTCCCAGCCCGGCCCGGCCCCCCCCAGAGCCCCGGAGCTGCAGGCGGCCCGGCCCCGCCGCCCTCCCCGCTTCCTGAGCAACACCATCCATCCGCAGCCTGGCCTCCTCGTCCTCTCCCCCACCTCATTTCTTTTTCTTATCTTTGTTATTATTATTTTTGCTTCTTCCCCATGCCCCGCGGCGGGTCGTTACCTTCAATTACCGCCCTTCCCACCAATTCGCGCCTCCAGACCGCTGCCCCCACCTCCCTTAGCACGCAAGCAACTCCCGGTGAAGGAAGAGGAGAGAGGAGAAAAGAAAAAAAAAAAAAAAAAAAAAAAACGGAAAAGAAAAAATACAAACCTCTCCTCCCCTTCTGGGTTTGATACTATATATCCGGCCGGGGGAGGGAGGAGCAGCGCGTCTGCTTTGCCTTTCCTTTCGGAGCCCACTGGGGATGCGGAGCGGCTCAGCCCACGGGGGCCCCACTGCAGCGGGAACCGCCGGGAGGAAGCAGCAACTGGAGCCGCGTTTTGTAGTGCCGTAGGGCACCCGAGCAAACCGCAACAGTCCTCAAAGGGCAGGCGAGAAAAGGCTCCCACCCGCAGCCCCCTCTCCTTACCAGGATCCTGGGGCTGCGCTGCCGGCTCCGCCGCCTCCGCGCAAACCCGGGACGCTGCAGGGCGAGCGAGCTGCGGCGGCTCCTCAGCGCCTCCCCGAGCCCCTGCCCTGCCCTCGTCGTCCTCCCTACCCGCCTGGCACCGGCAGGGAGCGGGCGGTCGTGATTTGCGGAAGGCAGGGCTGGGCTGCGGCCCCCGCACGGGAGGGGAAGGGGAGGAAGCCGAAGGCTTCACAAATCCATGGCGAAGGGGCAGGGCAAGTGGTCCCCAGGCTTTCCTTCGAGGGTATTGCACCTCCTTCCCTCGTCGCTTTAAAGTCAGTACGTTCGGCTGTGTTTTTAAAATGATGAGGAAGAATGTTGCACAGAGGGATAGCTATAAAATCAGCACATTAACTACACAATTCGTGTAGTTAAAACACGTTTAAAAGCCGTTTGGGCTTTTAAAAACAAAGACCAAAACACAACATACCTACTCAGCCATGAATCCTGTTCTCGCTTCAACTACTGAAGATACACCTCCAGAAAGATCTTTTCAACCCAAGGGATAAACTAGCGAGAAGTGATGCTTTTATATCACTTATCACACAGTATGTAAAAGCATTAATTATTTTTACAAGATTGATTTCATCTAATTACTATCTTCAACTTATTAGCAGTGAAAAAAGCCCCAGAGAGGTTAGGCAAGATGCTTATTGATGAGTAAATTAGTATCACAGCAGATCTCCAAACACAAAGGAATTAGGTGCTATGCCCGCAGCTGCAGTTCATTGGTACCAACCTTCATCCTTTAGATGATTAAAGGCTGCAGGTGGCTGACATTTCCATGAGAGCTTCCCAAGCATGTGTTTGTGTACCTTGGCACTAGTAATTAAGCCCTAGGACTAGCTCCAAAGCAGGTAGGCTTTCATGCTTTCACCTTATTCTCCTCCATGTTCTTACGATACACATCCCTCTACTCCAAATGCAATATTGTGCTGTAACCTGTGCATAGGGCTAAATATCCTGGTTGTCCAAAACAAAAGATCTGCATCAACAGCTTTCCACACCACACTTGCAGAGCTGCTGCAGGGTTATCTGTGTGGGGTCAGATAGAGCTGTTCAGGGAATTCATTTTATGAAAAAGCATATGATGCAGGGTACATTGACAGCATCCCTTATATAGATGGAAGATAGACTGCTGCTTGCATAAATAACTAGGTGCTATCTCAGTAGCTTCCACAGAAGACTGGAAGCTCTGTTTTGTCTGTTTTGCTTTTTTTTTTTTTTTTTTTTTTTTCCCCTCTCTCCTTGAAAGGAAAAAGAACCTACAAATTACATCAAAGAATTTCGGGATTAATTTATCAGAAATGTAGTGGGAGGGACCTTCCAAGGAAAGCAAGGTAAGAAACTACCAGAAGTGGTTCTTACCCAAGGAAGTCACAGCTCTTTGCAGAAAGTGACTGATGGTATCTCAGATAACTCTGGGTAAATAGAGTTTTGGTTGCCTACATACTTCTCTGGCATATTCTTTAACATAAACATCTGCTTCAACAGACTGGACAGACCTCTGCCTAATTGAAAAATATGTGGCACCAAAATGAGGAACAGGTAGGCGAATGTGAATTAATATATAGGCAATCTGAAGTGGCTTTGTTGAAAGAGTTATCTAGGAGTCTGGAAAAATAACCATAAGGAAAGTTTCTGAGAAGCACAGAATTAGAGACAACTGTCATTTGTTTTGTCTTTCAGATTACTGAACAGAGAGCTTGATAAGCATCATTTTTGCAGAAACCGTATCAAGAGGCGTTACATGGGAGACAAAGTACTTTCAAATCTACAAACTTAGAAGATCCTTTGTGAACTTGGGAAAAATTGAGCAGGCTTGATGAACTGTTCACAACTAAAAGCCAGTTATAATATTGAATAGGTACCATGTTAGGGACAGTTCATGACAGATTCCAAGAAATCTCTAGGAAAAATAAAATAAAAATGAGGGGGTAATGTAATTGAGGAGATGAAAAAATCCTTAATCATTATTGCAGTGCTAACCTGAGACAGCCACCCTTTGAACCAGTGAACTGAAGGTTGCAATGCAGCTCTCAAATTTGTAAAGGGGTGGGGGAACACTAGAGGCTTGGCTGAAAAAAAATGCCTTAAAAGGTTAGTTGAAGTAGTGCATCACAAATGCTTAAAAGCAGTAAAGAATGTAAACTCTCCAGAGCACATTGCCCTCAGGGACAAATGGGAGAGATTAGCCTGCATTGTTCTTTCTTGAGTAACCATCTTAATTCCATCATTAATTAAAGTGACTGAGTTGGAGAAAGCTTTTGCAAGCCTGGGTCTTCAGCCCATACCACAAGAAGGAGACATGAACAGAAGAGTAAATATTTTCCAGAACTCCTGAGTCCATAACTGTTCTCACACTCTGCTCTCCTCCTCTCCCACTTTGTTTTTCCTTGTTGTTCTTTAACTGACGATTAATATGTTCTTGTTGGCAAGTGACAAAAAGTTCTCCTAAGCCTGAATTTGAAACTGAGCTTGCAAAAGTTTGCACAAACCTGAACTTCCATCTTAAGCTGTATAAGGAAGACATAAAAGTAGGAAAGATGATTTTTTACATTGAAAATTGTTAACCTATGCAATACAAAACTGCTTAAGGAGAGTTACCTGACAAGGGCCCACAAAGCCAGCACCAGAAGAATCAGAATAGCACTTCCCTCACGTCCTCTAGCAGTGTTCCCTAACTGTAATGGATGACTTAGGGGCAGGAAAGCAGTGTGAAAGAGTTGACCATATGTGGTGGTTTTGCTAGGGTGGGCGGCTGAGCTCCACCACAACCACTCTCTCACTCTCCCTCCTGAAAGAGTAAAGGGGAGAAAATACTATGAAAAGGGCTCAAGGGTTGAGACAAGGACAGGGAGATCACGCAGTAATTATTGTGATGGGCAAAACAGACTCAGCATAGGGAGAAAGTAGGATTTATTACTTATTACTAACAAGCTAGAGAAGTGAGAAACAAAGGAAAGAAACCAAAAGCACATTCCCCCCCATCTGCCCTCTTCCACCTCCTCCCCTAGAGCGGTGCAGGGGAATGGGGGTCATGGTCAGTTTATAGCACTTCTTCTCCACCACTCCTTGTTGGTCACTCTCGTCCCCTGTGCTGTGAGGTCTCTCCCACAGAATGCAGTCCTTGATGAACTGATCCAGCATGGGCTTCCCACAGGCAGCAGCTCTTCCAGAACTGCTCCAGATATGGGTCCATACCACAGGGTCCATTTCTCAGGAGCAAACTGCTCCAACCTGGGTCCCCCACAGGCAGCAGCTCCTGCCAGGTCACCTGCTCCTGCATGGTCTTCTCTCCACAGGCTAAAGGTCTGGCCTGGAATCTGCTCCAGCAGGGGTCTTCCACAGGCCGCAGCCTCCGTTGGTGAAGGTCCACCTGCTCCGCTGTGGTCTTCTTCATGAGCTGCAGCGTGGAATCCTGCTCCACTGTGGTACTCCATGGGCTGCAGGGGGACAGCCTGCTTCACCATGGTCCTCACCACAGGGGACTTCTGCTCTGGCGCCTGGAGCACCTCTCCGCCTCCTTCTTCACTGACCTTGGTGCCTGCAAGGCTGTTTCTCACTCCTTTCTCTCTCCCACTTACTGTGTAGTGCAATGTTTGTTTGTTTGCTTGTTTTCCCTGTCTTAAATAAGCTCTCACAGAAATGCAAACAACATCGCTTATTGGCTCAGCTCTGGTCAGCAGTGGGGCCCTTACTTAACATGGTGCAGCTTCTAGATCCTTCTCACAGAAGCCACCCTATGGCCCCCTGCTACTAAAACCTTGCCATGTAAATCCACTATACCATCTGAAATTGAGGATTGTTGGGACTGCTGGGCCTCAGTATAACCCCCCCATCTTTTAATGGATGATGAATTAAGGAATTTTACAAATGTTTGAAAAGTTTGAGCAGCTTAATTCCTATAATGTCTGTTAGTACTCTTTTCATTACTATTGCAGACAGACCTTTACCAGACACAATGAGGGCTTACTGTAACCTATGGACGTAGTCTTACCCAGTGTCTTCTTTCAACACAGCATAAACGTCACATGTTGAGGACTTTTCATTTTATTTTATTTTTTTACCCCCCTTCCTATGCTGAATTCAGGTGTACGATTTACTCATAAAAATTTTGTTTAGAATAGCCTAAAATTCAATATAAAATGTATCTTTTTTTTATACTTAACAGTACGAACTATCTCATTAAAAAAAAAAAAAGACTTTTTTTCCTTAAGCTTTGTTTACACGCCTTTACATCGTTAAAAATTTGGAGACTCAAAAAAGCCTTAGGAACATTAAAACAAGGAAGCTCTTAAATACAGTAACAATTTAAATACCTGACAACAAACCTTGTGTCGTTACAAACCCCAAGTGAAAAAATCCTCACTTTGCTAGGATCTAGTTTTGTCTCAATCTAAGTGAAGTTGCTAATATGCTCATTTAAACAAGTAAGAGTTGAACACAATTTCTTAAAAATTACAGTAGTTTGTAGTCAAGTATCTGGCATAATTGCATTTTATCTGTGGTATACTTTAGTCTCCTATACAATAATCAGTATAAAAGCCATGCTATGACACATCATATACTCTGATGCCTCTTAATAGGTGAAGCACTAAAAAGAACCTCACTACTGTTAAAATAAACATCAGTGACAGTAACTCTCTATGGTGCTCACACTTGGCTGAACATCTGAAACCAATTTAGTATTCATCCCGAGTCTTAAAAGATGAGGTAGAACACTAGTGATCAGCTCTTGAAAAAATATTATTGCTTATTTTGATGTTAGCTATTACACTGAATGTGGAATTCACAAAAATATTTTCAACAATGTTGAAAATAATGAACACAAATAGGTCATTTTTTTGGTTGATATTTTTGTTTGTTTGTTTTAAATTCTATCAAAGTAGCTTAATCTGAAGAAAAAGCACAAGATCACAAAAGATCTATAAACAGGAAAAAAAGTCCAGATTCTTCATATCAGAAATCATTGCAATGAAATATCAAATCGAGGCAATGAAATATGCATCGAGGAAATCCAAAGGAAAAAGTTTGACAGACATTTTAATATTAATGTTTATTTTTCTAATAGAACTGCTGCTGAAGTTGTCTGGCTGCTGAAAATTATTCTATTCCTGATGTTTAGTTGCATTCAATCATTCTTAAAAAACTTCTGTTCTAAGCTTGTCATTTTCATGTCTTATTTCAACAGAGAGTACCGTTTTTATTTTACTGATGGCTTAAGAAAATTTAACTGGGTTGCTCTTTTACTTCACAGGCTTAATGAAGTGTTCCACACAGCAACGTGGATCTCAAAAACAAAACAAAACAAAACCAAACAACAATAACAAAAGAGCAGAATTTGGGATCTTCACCTCTTAGTTTGTCAGGACGATCTGATGCCCTTCGCACCATCAGAATGTATTAACATTTGCATTTCCACTCATTAATATCTATGTGAATACTCTTTGTTACATCTGAATTCTTCTTGCTTACCCTGAGACAAGACCGAAACAGAAGGGACCTCAACTGTAACAAGAACATAATCAATGAAAGAAATGAAAACTATTTTTCTTTCAAGTTCAGCTACATGGGAGTATGAAGGCAGGTCAGTTCAGACAAAGCCTTCTCCAAATTGTGGCTTAAGCTGTAGTGCTGACCATGATGACCTGCATTACCACAAGTACAAGGGTAACCACTCCGGCTTTTGATCTGAAAACAAAACAATGATTTGCTTTATCTGGGAAACCCCCACTCAGGAGAAAGTTTACAGGTAGATGCTGTCTTGCATTAGATTCTGTTGTCACCTCTCTAAGCATATACTACTCGCACCATGAAAGAGCATTCAGTTTAACATGTTGCACACTTGCAGATTAAGGAACTATCCCAGTGAAAGGTTCACTGACTACTAATAAATAGATGGGGAAATCTTGGGTTCACATGTCCAGCAGCCCAAACAACTTTCCATTCTCATGGAACACACTATTAGAAAAGGCACTCACATCCAAGATCAAGAGATAGCCAAAGAACATCTCAAGCAGCATGTGAGACAATGTGAGACAGGAAGGATTAGGCCATGCCATAAAACTCCTCCTGTTTATTGAATATGCACAGCTCATACCATTCCAACTCCTCATGGTTTTCATGAGTTGTTACCTTCTAGGCAAGAGAGAGACCCACACAACTCTCAGAGCCTGTGCAAAACAACCTTCCCTCTTACTCTAAGCCAATGGGGAAAGAAAAAAAATACATTGTTATTTTTTATTTTTTAATATTTGCTTAGGTAAGCATGGTTTATCAGAATAATGACTACCCTGAAATTCAGAAGGAATGATTGATAAAACTGGTAAGAGATTTTCTTCCTAAGAATATCTGATGCTTAATTTTGTGGTCCCTCTTTTAGTTAAAAAGACTCATTTAATACTATCAAATATATGCTGTGAGTACCATTTTGAAAAGACCCTTTAAGAGAATTCTGTGAGTCTGTTTTCACCTTGTGCTTCCATCAAGAAAAGTTTTAATGCCACCTTCCTCTCATCAAAATTATTCTTCTCAAAGTCTCAAGTAAAACAGAACATGGAGGAAGACTTGGAAGTCAGGACAGTTCCAGTCAGAGCTTGTAACAGAAGTTTCTCCACCTGTGGCAGGGGGTCTGGAAAGGCACCTTTTTCCTTTTAAGGAAAAAATTACTTTTAAGTCCAAAACCTTACCTGAGACTAATCAATATAGTTCTGTCTGTTAACTTTTACTACTGTAATATAAAAAGAAGGAAGCAAGGCAGCCATCAAGATGACTGCAGCATAAAAACACAAGTTACAGGGACTGGTGTTGCCATTGTAGTGACACTTACTGAAGCAAGACCATCTTATTTAGAAACATACAGGAGATATTGAGCACAATGCACACATGCAGTGCCTGTGCTGTGCAGACCCTCATGCACAGCATTCATTATGGGTTTGTTAGGATTACCACTGAGCTTTCCCAGCTGATGCAGAAAGTCTTTTTAACCAAATGCTTAAACAGCTGTGCCTGAACATATTATTTCTTAGTGTTCACATTATTTAGTTTTGTCTATTTGTCATTAAAATATAATCTCACTGTTCAATTGTCTCATCTTGTGTCATGTGGTTTGGCAATAACTATGATGGACTATTAATTTTCTGCTCTTTCTTTCCTGATATGTCTCATTAATAATGCCAATTTAGTGCTTTTTTTTTTTTTTTTTTTTTTTTCCTAAGAATAACCTAACTACAGCCGTGCTTGAAAAATTTGCATTTAGCTGACCTGAAGACAGAAGATTTTGATGAGCAAGCAACAGCTGTCTGGGAATCTTAAGAAATTGTTAGATGGCAATAGAAAAGATAGGTGAGGAGGCTGAAAATTAGACATTTTCATGAAGCTTTTGTTACTAGCTGGAAAAGAGTTAGATTCAGTTGTAAATTTTCAAAACAAACAAACACACCAAAACTCTCTCAAAGGTGTCAGATAAATGTTTTCCTCTATT